AAGCAGGGCATTCCCCAGGGAGGTTTCCCCTGGGACCCTTTTCTTTGGCATCCTTTAAGCAGCTGTCACACTGTCCCAGTTGTTTTTCAGGAAGGAGGTCCCTGGGGTTTCATTGAGGCAGAGTGGAACTTGACCCTGCCACGTTGATGTGTTCCCCGTCATCTGCCCCGGGAAGCGGGTGCCAAGCCCTGGGTGCCCGCGGGCGGGTCCTGGCTGTCTCTCAGCCTCCCCGGCTCATCACCTGTTGTTTTCTACCCAGAATGTGCGTTGGGATGTGTATGGTTGTCAGTGGTTCCTGCAAAGGCCAGCTTCCCCGGAGGAACCTGAGACTTTCACACAGACCAGCTTCTAACCCCGCAGGGCAGTCTGTCAGCAAAGCACTGAAGGGGGCACACAGAAGTAATGCATTAGGTAGCAGGTGAGGGGGGCCAGCATTCAGCACTTGATCCTCAGCCTTTTATTTGCCAAGGGCTTTTTTTATACCTTTTATTTTATTTTGTTTTTTACTGAAGTTCAGTCAGTTACAATGTGTCAATTTCTGGTGTACAGCACAGTGTCCCAGGCATGCGTGTACACACATATATTCATTTTCATATTGCCAAGGGCTTGTAAGTAATTTCCGTTAGCTCTTACTCCAGAACGCCCTTAGGAGGTCGCCAGATACTGGTGTCCTCCTTTTGAGAATAAGGACATGGAGAGGGAAGTGGCCCCAGGGACGTATCCATGACATGAGAAGGGTCAGAGGCCTTAGGGCTAAGGGGATCCCCACAGCCCCTATCCGGCCCCGGGTGCACCCAGCATCCACCCTGCAGGGGATGTTTCTGGAACGTGGCTTTCATCCAGGGACTGTCCACCACGCCAGCCTGCTGGGAGCTGGGCTGAGGCCTTGGTGCCTGTCCTGTGGCACGTGAGGGGCAGCCTCAAAGGGGTCAGCACTCAGCAGTAAACCCCGGGGCAGGGAGCCCCTGCTCAGCACAGAGCGAGGAGGCTCTCACTCCCCAGCCGCTCCCTGCGCCAGCTTGGAAGCGGGATGTATTTTTAAACACAAGCCTCGTACAGAAAATGTTCCCTTGCATGTCCCCATAGCCTACTAATGGGGCAACTCTTGGCAACCGATGCCCCGCCCGTGCTCAGGGCTGTGTTCTCAATTTTTCTTTCTATTCTTGTCCCCTGGCATACGATAGGGGTGGCTGTCCCAGGAGACTGCAGGCTACTGGCGAAAAAAGGTTTCAGTGGGTTTTCGCCTGCTCTCAACTTCCAGAGTCTCTGATTTCGTTCAGACGCTGGGCCTGTGTTCACTTGCCGAGTTGGCTGCTTTCTTTTCTTCTTTTCTTCAAACTGCCCACTGCTTCCCCGAAGGCTGGGGTTCCCCTGCGTCGCCCCAGACTGAGAAGGGGCTGACATCTGACAAAGGGAGCGGCCTCGCCAGAGTCTGAGAAAGCGGCCCCTGTGCCCCGGCCCATCTCGCAGCAGCCCTGCGTGCCTCCCGCGAAAAGAGCTGTCAGCCTGGCCTCTTCCCGGCGCTCTGATTAGGATCTCGCTCCCGAGCAAGAGGAAAGAAGGTCAGCTTGCAAGTCCTAATTAGAGTGACTCTCCTTAATTTACCCAGGATATCTTTCTGAACTGTCCCGGTGTGTTCCCAAGTATGATTACTGTTGTTGTTGTTTTAAGAAGCCCTTCCTGACCCGAGGCTGGAGGAGACGCCCCCTGTCGGCCCCTGGGCCCTGCGGTCCCCCCCGCACGGCTGTGCGTGTTTGAGCTGCGTAACACAAACGGCTCCTCCACTTTTGTTTTCAGCCTCCGACTTCACTCGCCCTCAGCAGAGCCTGGTGCCGGGGTGGTTTCCCCTCGCCGTCTCTGTGTTGCGGCTGGAGAACAACACAGCCTGCCCTTGACCCCTCTCTGGGGCCAGCCTTTTCCTCCCCAGGCCCAGCAATGAAACCGAGACACTGCTGTGGAGTGTGTCCTCCAAAGCACAGCCCCAGCCGGGCCGGAGGGGCGCCCCGGCTCAGCAGGGGTGAAGCAGTCGTGGGCGTTGGATTTCTCTGCAGCTTCTTCACAGATAACCCGGTTCCTCCAAGTCAGGAGGACCCCTGGAACATGGGAAACGTAATTCCCCCGAGCATGTGGATTCACGCCCGCCTTTTCAGGAACACGTCTGATGTGTGAAACACATGTGACCGTAGTTAGGAAGGAGGTTCGAAAGGCATTGGAGGCATCAGCGCCACGTTATTTTCCTATTTGTATCCCCTTCAATCAAGTATTTTCAAAGCATTTCACTGCTAAATAGACCAGGCTCGTGGTTTATCCCCTCAATGACTCCACGCAGTGGAGAAACCTTGCAGTCTTCTCGCGGAGTTTTAACTTGGCAGAATGGTGTTCCAAGCATAGTTGGATTATAGTACATTTTTAGTAATGGGTTTCTTAAAACAGCTCTCCAAGGGTTGAGTCACTGATTCCTTTCTGTATACAGTTGTCTTCATGCAGATAACAAATATTTTCAGAATTGGCATTCTCTTTCAAATTTCTTACTGCAAGGTTCCATCGCCACTTCTGAAATTTCACTTTGCAATATTCCATCTTCCTCTCTGATCACCCTGAACACTCATGCTTGCCATCTGTCTCCCGGGGGTCAGCAGCCTCAGGGTGAGAAGAATGCCCATGTCATTTTTTCAGAACTGTGACTTTGGGAGTCAGGACTAGAGAGGTGGAAGGCATGGAGGTCTGGAGAATCAAGTGCCTGGGGTGTGGAGGGAGGGGGAGGGGGCCCGGTGGCAGGGACGGTCTGGAATTGAGCAAGAGGAGAGACTGCCCGGCACACTTCCCTTCCTGCTGGGGTCCCAGAAGACTACAGGAGAGAAAGAAAAGGAAAGAAAGGAGGGAGGGGAGGGGAAGGGGGAAATGGAAGCAAGAAAGGAAGGAAGGAAGGAAGGAAGGAAGGAAGGAAGGAAAGAAAGAAAGAAAGAAAGAAAGAAAGAAAGAAAGAAAGAAAGAAAGAAAGGAAGGAAGGAAGGAAGGAAGGGAGAAAGAAAAGGAAGAAAAGAAAAGAAAAGAAAAGAAAAGAAAAGAAAAGAAAAGAAAAGAAAAGAAAAGAAAAGAAAAGAAATTATAGTAATGGGCAGGAGAAAAGAAATTATAGCAATGGGCAGGGTGGGGGGAGGATGCAGCTGGAGATGTTTGCAATAAGAAATACTTCAAGGTCTACAGCCAGGGCCTTGACAAAGTCACACAGCATCCTCTTGTCTCCCCAAGCCTTTGAGAATTTCTCCGCATTTTCCCAGCAGCAGCAGCAGCTTCTAATTCTCGCACATCCTCTAATTTGCCAACTCCCAACACTCCCCGCCCGATGCCCTCTCCATCTCTCTCCTCCAAGGTCAAATCCCAGTGCCCCTCAACTTCTCCATGCTGCTGTCCAGTGTGGCCAGAGCCTCCCCTGCAGTGTGCCCGGAGGGAGGAGGGCGGCGGTGAAGGGGTGGGGCTGTGAGCAGCGGGGCTGGAGGAAATCTGCTGGGGCCTTGACTTTCTCACACATGTTTCAGATGTGCAGGGGTGTGATGGTAAACAGCGTCTTGGTCGCTGCCAGAGCCAGCTGCTCTACCCTGAGTCCTGTTCCCATCACCCCAGGGGTTCCAGTAATAGGGCGTAAAGCAAACAAAGAAAAACAGTAATCTGGTGTTCCAACTGCATTTTTTGTTTTTAGAAAATCTTAATGATAGGTTATTTGATTACCCTAGGTTTGGCTCTGCCTGCTCATTGGTATTAAGCACATCTGGTATTTAGTAACAATCTAAGTAGCAGGAGTTTTTTTGGCACTTGAGCATAAGCTCATCCAATGTTGCCATGCAGTTTGGAAACTCGTCAGAGAGGCCAGCCAAACTTGTGGAGATACAAGACTTTTTCTGTAGGCTGGGCAGCTGGCCAGGACAGCTAAAAAATGTGAATTGGCTAAGAGCTTGCTGCCACGCAAACACTTCTGGAAATTTCTGTGCTCGGGCCTGCCAAATCCATTATGCGCAACATGAATTACAAGACTTTCTATCTCTCCAAGCAGTTGCTTTTTGAGCTTGGTTCTCTGTGCCCTTTATGAAACATCCGCACATAACCAAAATGAGAAAAACACCCCCACCCACCCCACAAATCCACTACCATTAAGGGAAAAACTCTTTCCATTTGGGCTGCCAAGCTCAAAACTTTTCCTGAATTAGGAGAAATAGTCTCAAACTTTGGTTTGAATTACATGAAATCTAACAGGCGGGAGGCAACTGCGCTTCCTGGAAATTCTCGAAAGGAAGGAAGTCGCGCCTCATGGCCACGGCTTGATATCTAGGTAGAAAACGCCATAAAATGCAACAGAAGAACGTGGAAGGGAAAAACACAGCCACCCTACCCGTGGCATGTGCTGTGGTTGGGACTGGGGCTTCGTGGGGATTTTAATCAGGCTGGGAAACACACCTCCGAGCAGAATGTGCTTCTTCAGGGTGGAGGTTGTGCCCAACTGGGAGGTGCGCTCACCGGGAGGGGCCTGGTTCCTCCTTGAAACCCTGCAGGCCTGTCAACCACAGGGGCAGGATCTGAAGTGGAGTGTGGGCCCAGGGGGAAAGCAAACAGGGGAGAAGCAGCTAGCCCTTGGAGTCAGATCCTGGGTCTGCCCAGCCTCCCTTCCCTGCCAAGGCTGAGAAAGGTTTGCATCATTTCTTTCCTGATTCCACACTGAGACTTGCCTCTTGTGACTCAGATTTACTGGATGACTCAGACTCTGCCCGGGACTGCTTCTGTGGGCCTGGAGCCCCACTCCTCTTCTCCAGAAGCATTGGAATGACACCGTTCATGGGACACAGACAATAGCCACCGTGAGATAATACACATTAGCACGTTAGGAGACAGACAAGTACAGCTGAGTAGCTCCCTCGTCCCACCTCGTCATCGTCGGGGTCGTTTCCGTCACTACACCACGTCCC